TAATAATAGCAATTTATATATTTAATAAAAATTTGGTACATGATCCTTGTTCCTAAGATTAACCTCAAATGGAGCTTGCAGGACTTTATAGGTCATTAAATGGTCCTCTGTCTTTGCCTCCCTTCCTGTGTGGAAAACTGTTCCCCTGGATGTTCATACAAGAAAGTTCTCCATTTCATTCAGATCTGTCCTTAGTTATTATCTAAGAGGCCACTCTAAAGTAAATGTATCACTCCAAATCTGTCACTATCTCCTAACCCTTCTATTTTTCTTCATAGCACTTAACTACAATCTGACATTTGATATATGTGTGCATGTGTGTTTTAGTGTGTGTGTGTGTGTGTGTGTGTGTTTTAATGTGTGTGTGTGTGTGTGTGTGTGTGTGTGTGTGTGTGTGTGTGTGGTCACGGAAGCAGGAAAGGGATTATGAGAGGGAAGGAAGAGTTCATATGGGTAGAGATAATAAGATAGTACACAGAAAGGAAAACTATTTGGGAGAAACAACAGGATCAGATGGGGAAGAAGATGAATAATAACAAAGTATGATAGATAGATAGATAGATAGATAGATAGATAGATAGATAGATAGATAGATAGATAGATAGATAGATAGATAGATAGATAGGAGCATGCATGCACGGGGAATCAGTCATTTTGTATGCTCACTTAAAAAATTAATTTAAAAAACAAATGTGAGCCAGGCACAATGGTATACAACTGCAACTCCAGCTCTTCTGGGGCAGACAGAAAGATCACCCACAAGTTCAGGGCCAGATTGGCCCAGTCTACACAGTGAGTTCTAAGCTACCAGGCTTGTAAAGCAACATTCTGTCTCAAAGAAACAAAAACAAAAGTAAACAAACAGAAAACATACAAACAAACAAAAACCCCACAAGGGTCTAAAAGAACTGACAGTCTAAAAGCTGCTAACTTCCTCCTGAGGAACTTCTAAAGCCCACATTTTCTGACATTGTCTCACAGCTCCAGCTGTCTTTAGAACAAAAGGGTATGTGTGTGGGGGGGGGTGATTTGAGAACAATGCTTGTCATTGTTACAGCATTCATTGAAACAGCTACATACTTTTTCTTATGAAGTGAATGGGAAAATTATAAAAATACGAAGCACTAAACTAGACATTTCCATCTTTATATAAAATACGTTGGAGGGGTTGGAGAAATGGCAGAGGACCTGGGTGTTCTCAGCATCCACTTAATGGTTCACAATCATAAGTCACTCCAGTTCTAGGGAGTCCAATGTCCTCTTCTGACTTCCTCAGGCACACATGTGGTACATATACATACATGCAGGCAAATACTACACACTAGGAAGTCATGTAGGTGCACGTATGTAATATCAGCTGGCAGGAGAAGGGAGGGAAGGAAGGAAGGGAGGAAGGAAGGGAGGAAGGGAGGGAGGGAGGAAGGGAGGGAGGAAGGGAGGGAGGAAGGGAGGAAGGAGAGATAAAGTCTCTCAGGCTGAGGATGTAGTTCAGCCGCAGAACTAAGCTGAACACATGCAAGGCTCTGCACTAAACCCCCAGTAGCCCCACCCCCAGGCCCGAAAAGCTGTCTGTCTAAGAACTATTATTTTCAGTACCAGCACTAGCAATTCTTCTTCAAGAAACGTCACCAAAAACAAAACTTGACTCCTATCCCAAAAAGCATTAGACATACACCATGGGCAAGAGGAGAAAGCTACATTGAAGGTACCAAAGAACCAAAGGTACAACAGAACTTATGGAAAATGCTAGACAAGAATATAAATTTCAATCATTGAGAAACATCATACAAATACAAAGATGAGGAACATTCCAGTCAAACGGGAAAGTATGAGTCTATAGTCTTCAAAAATGCCAATGTCACAGAAGAAAAACAGTGAGGAAGTGAAATGGAGTAATGGAGATTAAGAGGAACAAAAGACAGTTTGGTTAAAGTGTGAAATTGTTTTCTTAACTACTCCTCATTTATCTATTAGCTGAGAGGTTAAATTGTTATGTAAATTGATGCATTCTTACTCATGTATTTTCAATCACTGACTATCCCAAAGGCAAACACGTCATACCTGCAACTGTGAACACTGGGGAACTTTCCTTCGAGGTGGACTGGGAAAAAACGAACTCTGCCTCCTGACTGATTCCAGTCGTTTCTGCAAAGGGGTGGCACCTACAAAGCAATCTTTCAGATTTGAGGGACCTCGTCTAGGAGTTGGTCCTTGTGAGTCATAAGGATCCATGGTCTGCAATAAGAAAAAAAAAAGCAACTCTAGAATTCTAAGCACTAAAGTTAACTCATGCACACTGCTCTACAGGTACTTCTTACTCTCTCTCGTTCCCACTCCCTCCCTTTGCCACAACATCCTATTTCCTGTCTTAGTCACTGTTCTAGTGCTGTGAAGAGAAATGCCAAAACAAGAACTTTATAGTATGAGCTCTAGAATAAGTCAATGTTTTTGATGTTGCCAACAAACAATACATGTTGCCAAGCAGACTTGCAAGATCATCATGAATGATGGGCAAAACAGGGGCTTCGTGATGACCCTAAAGAGCTGCCTCTAATCTGGCTTGCCAATTTCAAAAAGTTAGGGAAGACAGGAAGTGAGTTTGTGTGAGCACACAGAAGACAGAACATTCATGACAGGTGGCATGGTGGGTGGATGGCTCTCTCCCAGGGTCCTTGGAGGTTGGAAGACTCTCAGGAGAGCCAAGGCCAGTCCTAAGAGGAAAGGCAGCTACCTCACAGCCTGCCCCCCTTTCCTGAAGGAGGCTGCAAAGCAACAGCAACTGAATGTCCAGGCACGACTGGCCCCAGATGACCAACGAAAAAGAAAACCATGTTCCCAAGCACGGGCACGGCTCAACCCTGCGGGCTTTGCCACTTAACACCCTCAGAAGCCAGAAAGAGGTGAACTTTCTAGTCAAAAAACTGGAGGGTATCTCTACAGACACAACCCCACACCAACAGCCTGTAGCCAAAACTTGACCTGCTGATGAACTGCCTCAACTGATGCCTTCCAAACCTGCCTGTGTAAGGGATTTCCTTTCCTACCAACCCTCCCTCAGCCAGAGAAGCGACAAAACTGAGCCAGACAGGATTTGGAGTCAAGACAGTGCAATTGTCAATGGATTTGTTGATCGACAATTGGGACTAGAGTGGTTCCTGTGATGACGATGGTCTAGAAAGCATGATGACCCGCACACATACCTCCGGGGGCATGGCCATTTCCTCCTCCACATGAGTGGTGTACCACAGAGGAGGGTGGTGGCAACATTCTCCAGGGAGGGTAAATCACCTGGAAGAGCCAGTTGTCTATATTAGGGGAATAGTAATCTGGTGCCATCAATTCCTCCTCCATCGGTTTTGGGACCTTAGCTTTGTCTGGATTCTCCAAAACTCCAGGGTTGGTCAGACAGCTCAGCCAGTAAAGGAACAAGCTAGATAACCTAAGTTCAATTCCTGAAGCTCATACAGCAGGAGAGAACTGACTTCTGCAAGATGTCCTCTGACCACCATACATACCCATGTACATGTGGACACACATGTACTATGTTTAAAAAATAAAATAAAAAACACCATAGATATGGATGCAATTTAAATAGGCTTTTTTTTTTTTCATTTTCCCATAGGCATAAAGTATTTCCATGATGTGAGCCTTGGCCACATTCCTGGAGAGCCTCTCTCAGTGTGCACCTTACTGGGTTTAGATTACAGAATTTTTCTTTGAAGTATGTTATTTGGTACAATAATTGCTAAGCATTCATTATTTTCCAGGTTTGTTTGTAATCACTTAACAAATATCATGCCTTTAACAAATATTCTCCTTTTAGTTTTTTTTTTTTGGGGGGGGGGTTGTTTATAAAGAGTGACTGTGTAGCTCAGGTTGGCCTAGAATTCACAGCAATTCTCTTGCTTCAGCCTCCCTTGTGCTGGGACACACCTAGTACTCCTCAAGTGACCCGTTATGTACGCCACTATGTTGCCAGTTGACAGAAGGGCAAGGGTCCGAAATAGTTCCCAAGTTTTACCCTGTCAGCAGCTTTTTAGTATCCACAGAGCAACATTGCTTGCCGAATCCTCCTGTACTCAGTTCATAAACACACAACTAGAACTCAGTTACTTCTCATGAAAAAAGGGCAATATTGCGACAACAGTCAACCGGCTGCCCCAATACCAACGCTCATCTGAACGTTAACTCCAGTGTGTGTCCATGTAAACACACAGAAGCATTGGACCGACAGGGACCTCACAACACAGCTCAAGGCAGTACATCGTCAGTCCAGGACCCACCCAAAACATCTTACCAAAAATATGTCGTAATGATGCTGTCATCCATTCCGGATGCACGAATCATTCTTCAAGTCTGGCTCCAAGACTACGTCGAGAAGATATTTTTGGTTTTTTCGGTTTTTTGTTTTGTTTTTTAGGAAAAAAAGAAAGCGGCCAAAGGCCAAAATGACTGTTAAGAGAGAACCGAAGCAATCCCTGGTGAGTTCAGAAAAGACATCAAGGCCAGCGAGGGAACCCTGGCCCCCTCAGACGCGGGCAACACTGCGACTTCACCGTGGAGAGACAGTTCCGCTTCCCTAGCGGCCCGGCTCTGCGACCCTCACTCCTCCGGAGCTAGCGTCTGCCCACGAAAGACAAGGTGTCCCCGAAGCCCCTTCTCGGAAGCTCTGCTGTGATCAAAAGCAGAGCTAAAAGCTCCCTTCGCAAAGGCGCAACTCCGCGCACTCCACGCCCTCCGGTTTAAAATCATTTCCCGACTCGCTCTGCGGCCGACGCAGACAGCCTCTTCTGTGGCCCGCCGATTTCACGTAAATGAGCAACCGACGTCGCCATCTTAACTGAGGGCAGAGCTTTTGTCAGTCCCGTCAAATTCCCGATTGCGCCGCGTCGCTCTTCAGTTTTACAACCGATGCGAAGCTTTCTCTCAAATTTCCGCCCACAATAAACATGGCGGAGGCGCCCTCGCTCTGATTGGCCGACTACCTTACGTCAGTTTGGCGCTCGCAGGGCGTGAGAGGGACGGGCTTCGGAATGTGATCTGTGTCGGGATTCGAACCACCGAGCACCTAGGACTTGCTCGCTTTCAAAAATTCAGTATGGGCCGCCACGTTCAGGAGATTTGAAACACCAGGTTGAACCTCCTTCTGCGTATGCCCTGGTCACCTTGGAGGAAACGTGGGACTAAAGGAAGGTGACCGGCCTCCCCACGTCTGGACTGGGCTGGGTCGCGCTCGCCCTGCGGTTTGGGATCTTTTGGTGTCTTCGGGCCGCAGCCTTGTCTAACTAAAGCGGGGACTGATGCACTGAAGGAAGCAAAGGTTTTGCCCCGTCCGCTCACCCAAGGGCCCTAGAGACGGACTTTGCGGATTAATCTGCCTTGTACTTGAACGTTCTGCGGGGCGGGTCTGGATGCATTTGAGTGGGAACTGGAATTGTAAGGGTTCCCAGGTATTCCGGAAACCGAGTTTTGCGCACCACCACACCCGCAGCGTGGGATTCGTGATTGTCTCTGGCGATCCTGGGACTTCAGCATGTATCTTGGTTCTTGGTTAAGTCGTCTGTGCAGGGGTTTATCCAGACCCATCGGAAAGACCACCCAGCCAATCTGGGGTTCTCTCTCCAGAAGTCTGGCGTTGAGTTCACAAAGAATTCCAGGTGAAAGCAGCGACGAGCTCCCGCCTGTTTCTGATAACTTGTTTCCCCAGTCTTAACTGCATTTTTATAGTAGGTCATTCATTCTCTTCATTACTTATAATCAAGATTTTTTTCCGTAGTTAAAATAATAATAATAATAATAGCCGCCCATAGGACAGTCTGTTTAGTTGATACTATTAATATAAAAACTAAAAAATAATAATTAAAATCTTTTTCACACTTTTAATAATTTATTATTGTACAAATGATCGTTATAAACTAGATTTGTACTAAAGCTGAATAGTAACTGCACTGCCAAACAGATAATTTCTAAGATCGTATTTCACTTGGCAAAGAAACATGCAATATTTAAAATTGTACAACTGCAATTTTAGGTCCATGCAAGTGCTAGGTCATGTAAAAAGTTTAGATTTCTAAACAGAATGCAGAATTTTACTTTGGGATAGTAATTCACTTGGACTTTGACACATTTGCATGTAAACGCAAGAGAGAAACTGTATGATCTAGCCTATTTATAAACCTCATCAGGCTTATCAAGATGATTCAGTGGGTTGAGGCGCTTACTGCCAAGCCTGAGAACCAGAGTTCATTCCCGGACCCATATTGTGGTTGGGAGAAGAGAACAGAATCCAACAACTTGTCTTCTGACCTCCACAGGTGCACCATGACACGTGGGCTCCTACATGTATGATGCGCACGCACGCGCGCACACACACACACACACACACACACACACACACACACATAAATGTAATTTAAAAATTTTATTAACTTCACCTATTGACCTGCAAAACCTAATATACCATGAGTGAAGACTATTTTAAACAAACTACAAATGTTTTTACTGTTGCCATTTATACTGTTTTTTTAATTTTTTTTTTTCTTTTTTGAAAGAATTTAGTAGCTTTGTTGCTCGGACCAACACATGTGGAGAATTGCGTTCTTCCCACTTAGGCCAAGAAGTCACTCTGTGTGGATGGATTCAGTACCGAAGGTAAACTGAGGCAAATGGTTTAGGAATACATAAAGGTTGTATTCCCAAGCAATTCCAACCTATACTAATTTTTACCCAGTCAGAGAATTATGTTCTGCCATTTTTGTAGTTCTCTCAGCAGTCACTGCATTTTCCGTTCTGTTTTGTTTTGAAAAATTCTAATAGTGTCCCTCTCAGTAAAGGGGTAGTGATCAAACCTGGTCCACCAGTGGACTGAAATGATCTTGAGCTACTGTTGAAAAGTTTTTATAACCAGCAACTGGGAATAGACCAGAAGTCTGTAAGCCAGCTGAGAAACAGCCGTAGTGGCAGAGAAAGCTGGCTTTATTCGGAATTGAAGTAGAGAAAAAGCTTAAAAACATGAGCAGTGATTCCTGAGGCTCAAAACCCATTTGTTGTTTTTGTTGTTCATCTCTGTGTTCCAAAACACATTAATTCATATTGAAGAAGTCCAAACTGTGGATAGATATTTGCCACTTAAAAAAATTTACCTTGGCTCAGCATGCTCAATACAAGCATTGTCTTGGCAAGAATCTTGTCCTTAACTTGCTTATTTATAACTGTGTCAACACTGTGCTGAGTGACAGGTAGACTCTTAAGTTTTTCCATAGTAACATTCTTGGCACATTTCTTTTTAAACTGTTCATTCCCTTGATGTCTGCAATATCACCCTTGTAGAGTCACGTGTATGTGGACAAAGGAATACCCCTGTGCTTTCCAAAAGGCCTAAAGAACATACATGTCTTTCCCTTTGTGTGTGCTTTTTAATGAATTACTGGAAGATGGCTGTTCCATTGCTACCCCTTTTGAGATTTTATTTATTTATTTTTATGTGTGGTATTTTGCATGTATGTATGGCTCGATACCATGCACATGCCTGGTGTCCACAGAGGCCAGAAAAGGTTGTTTAATTCCATGAAACTAGAGTTACAGACAGTTGTGAACTGCCATCTGAGTGCTGAGAACCAAACCTGGGTCCTCTGGAAGAGCAAGAAGCACTCTTAACCTCTGAGCCATCTCTCAAGCCTGTTTCCCCTTATTAACTACTTAAAACAAAGGAAAAATTTAAGTTTTGTTTTCTGAAATAATAAAAACTTACTCTTAGAATTTATTCCATTTTCATGATTACAGACATTATAGAAAAGAATAGACAAACAAAAATAAAGTAAGTGATATGCTGGTTAATGTAGCTTAGCTGGTTAATGTAACTTACTAACTAGGGTTGAAATCAGGCAACGTAAACTCCTTATACTTTAGACTTCCTCCACAGGTACTCCACGTCCTTCTGAACAACAGTGTGAGCTCTAGAATGGTGTTCAGTGTTCTTGAAGCTTTCACATCTTAATCAAGCACCTCTCTAAAGGGGAAGGCAGCTTTTACCAGCTGCCTTCCCCTTTACTATTCCAGGCTACCAGCAATCTTGTTTTTTGTTGTGGTGGTTTTATTTTGAGACAGGGTCTTACTGTATACAGCTTGCTGGCCTGGAACTCACTATGTAGACCAGGCTGGGCTGGAATCCACAGAAATCCACTTGCCTCTGCCTCCTGAGTGCTGGGTTTAAAGACATACGGCACCATATCCGGTTACTAGCAATTTAACTGTTATTATATAGAAATAAAACCATACTCCCAAGTTAACTAAAACTGATTGTGCCCAGGTTCTTTCTTGGAACATTAGCTCTCAGAGAAAAGACTTCATAGCCAACTGCTTTCAAGAACAGTGACCACAGTACAGTATACCTGATGCCCTTTGCAGCAAAAATGAAGAAGTCAGGCTGCCCCAACCATCATATGAGTATATCATCGTTTGCACACATGGTATAGTTAAACTGATTCCAGACCATGTATTACAACCATAACCCCAAGACCTATTTGATTTTAGCACACTGAGTTCCTGTAAAATGCTAGCACATTTGAGAAAGATAGTTCCTCGTCTTCTTCAAGTAAGAAGAAAGGCATCAGGAAGAAATAAAACTCTTACAGAACCCATCAAGTCTCATGACTATCTTCATAGCTGTAGTTGATGAAACCCATAGTCCTCAATTTCCTTATATGAGAAATCCATTTTCAGTGTGGCAGGCAAGCTCAAGAAATGTTTTCAGGGGCTGGAGAGATGGCTCAGGAGTTAAGGATGAAGTCTGCTCTTGCAGAGGCCCCATAGTTTGTTTGCCAGCATTTACGTCGGGCTCACAACTGCCTGTAAGTCCAGCTGCAGGGGGATTGATGCCACTGGCCTGCCAGGTCCCTGCATTCACATGCACAGACACATAATTGAAATGAAAATGAATCTTTAAAAAGAAATAGTTTGCAGGCTTTTCTTTGTGTGATTCCCATCTTCTAGTTCAGTAGAAACCCCCTTTTCTGCTTTCTCAGCATACTCCTGATAGTCCTTTAAGAGCCTGGTACACAGGTCTGAGAGTCTCTGTCACAAATTTTGCTGCAAACGAGTGATTGCATGCTTCTCTGGCGCTTCAAAAGGGGCTGGCACATTCAAAAACTTTTAAGTCTAGGCAGGCAGGCAGTGGTGGTGCACACCTTTAATCCCAGCATTGGGGAGGCTGAGGCAGACTGATCTCTGAGTTTAAGGCATCAATTCCAGGCCACCCACAGCTAAACAGTGAGACCTTGTCTCAAAAAAAGAAAGAAAATTTTAAATCTTCTTTGTCATTAATAAGCCATATATATATATCAAATTAGTAGCTATATGAATAATTAGTAACAATTCAAATTGAAAAAAAATTTGGCCAGGTATGGCAGTACATGCCTATAATCTCAGCTAGTTAGGAAGCTGAGGCAGGAAAATGTCAAGTTCATGGACAGCGTGGGCAACAAGGCCTGACTCTTCCTAAAAAAGAAAAAAAAGTCATAAGATAGTTGCATGAATATAGCTTATAAAAGTGCACAATTATAAAAATGGAGAAATTACATGTAATTTTTATTACTGGTTTTGTCTTTAAATTTTGAGCTGAGGTACTTTATCCTAAAATATTCTTTCTTTTTCTATTATTCAGGCAAAACACCTTCTTAGTACTAAGAGATTGCCACGGTCTTGTTCAAATTATCATTCCCCAGGATGAGGTAATAAAAGGTTTCCTACTATTATCTAAAAGCTTCTTTGATAGGATGTAGTGTGAGCTAAGTAGTTTGATCAGCATGTTTGAAGTATTAATTTCAGGAGTTAATTGTTAATAAAAACTGAAAACTATATACAACATTAAGATATGATAAACTGTGGGGATAAAGAGATGACTAATCTGCTAAGAGCACTTGCTGCTTTTGTTAAGGACCAGGGTTCAAGTCCCAACACACAGCCATCTCTTAACTCCAGTTCCATGGAATCCAATGTTCTCACTGGCTTCCAAGGGCACCAAGCAGGTATGTGTTAAACTCACATACATTCAGGCAAACAGCTAATACCATAGACAAAGGGCCAATTTCTCTAATATGTAAAACACTGCACAAAAAGGGGAGATAGGGGACCGAAGAGGCAAGATGGCCCAGAGGGTATAAAGGTGCCTGCAACCAAGCCTGACAGTGTGAGTTCAAAACCCACATGGTAGAAGGAGAAAACCAGCTGCTACAAGTTGTCTTCTGACTTCACATGTGCTGTGCTACACTCATGTGAGTGCCTGTGCATGCACACACATACAGAATCAATGTAATAAATAAATTAGCTACCAGAAAATAAAGGATCCAGAATGTGAAGATGAAATTTATAGAAAAGAAAACATAACCTAAAAATAATTTCCAAAGAAAATGTAAGTCAGACATGATAGCATACACTTAAAATCTCATCAGTGGGAAGCAGATGCAAGAGCTCAGGACCCAAGGCCAACTTCAGTATTATAGAGATGAGTATAGAGTATATACATGAGACCCTATATAAAATATACACACATATACATGAAAGTATACCAAAGGCTGAGGTGTGATTTTGGACTGGAGTGGCCCATTGGGTAAAGATTTTGTTTGTTTGTTCTTTTCGAGACAAGGTTTCTCTGTGTAGTTTTGGTACCTGTCCTGGATCTCTCTCTGTAGACCAGGCTGGCCTCAAACTCACAGAGATCTGCCTGGCTCTGCCTCCCAAGTGCTGGGATTAAAGGTGTGCGCTGCCACCACCCGGCAGGTCAAGATTCTTGCCACCAAGCTGACATCTGAGGTTGATCCTTGGAACTCTCGTGGTGGAAGGAGAACCAACTCCCACAAGTTGTCCTCTGACCTCTCCATACAGGCTATGGCATGTGCACACGTGTACACAGACACACAAACACACACTCACTAAATAAAGCCAGCTTGGGCAACTTAGACTACATCTGATAAAAGGTAGCTGACAAGCTGGGCATAGTGGTACATGTCTTTAACCCCAGCACTTGGGAGGCAGAAGCAGGTGGGTATACTGTGAGTATAAGGCCAGACTGACTCGTCTGCATCATGAGTTCCAAGACAGCCAGAGTGCCATAGTGAAACCCTGTCTCAAAAAAAAAAAGTAGCTGGAGGGTATGGTAGTGCATACCTACAACCCTAGCACTTGGGAAGCTGAGGCAGGAAGGCTGAGAGTTCAAGGCTAATGTGGACCATATAGTGAGGCCCTGTCAGAGGAAAGGAAGAGAGAGGATTCTTGTTGGTCTGTGTTATATGGAGCCAGAGTGGCAGTGGGATTTACCATATCTTGTAATAGCATCATTGAGACAGCTCCCATATTACAACAAGTAAGCTGTGAGTATCATTTTTCTAAACTAGAGGTTTACTGAAGAGTTCTGTAAGTTCATTTATTCTTAGAACTGACTCCCCTCCCCCATATTTTACAGTCGGCTGCATCTGTGAAGAAGCTTTTATGTGAAGCCCCTGTGGAATCTGTGCTGAAAGTATCGGGGACGGTTATCTCCCGGCCTCCAGGACAAGAGAATCCAGTTAGTAGTTTAGGAAATAGAAAGTTTGTCTTTGTGCATTCTCAGTGTCTATGTATACATAGCGCCCCTTGTGGACACTTAGAATAAAGTTCCTAAGTTCCACACGTGAACTGACAGGTGTCAGCACACCCATGTAAGTGTGCACAAAGAGACATGTCGACCATGACAAATGCATAATGATTTTTGTATAATGATTAATATAATGATACATATTTGCTGATCTTAGGAGCCACAGATATAAATAAGAATGTAAAAATTATAATCTACACTGTAGCTTGACACACACACACATATATATAAATGAATGTGTTTTACAAGTGTGTATTATGTGTATTGCATAGATGTCCTGAAAAATGATTTTCTAAAGTAGATCTTTTTTTTTTTTTCCTAAGAAAATGCCAACAGGTGAGATTGAAATCAAAGTTAAAACAGCTGAGCTCCTGAATGCCTGCAAGAAGCTACCCTTTGAAATTAAAGACTTTGTGAAGGTGAGGGCCTCTCATTAATAAAATTAAGTATGTAGAAAGTGATAAAAAAAAATCAGAATTTGTAAAGGAGAAGTTCGCCTTATATAAAATGAGTATTTTATTACCAATTATCCTAGTGAACTACAAACTGACTGCTTGTTATGTTATTGGAGTTCATACAGGTTGAAATGTATTCTGTCTTTAAGACTTGAAGTATTCTATTCAAGTTTTTCCATTGCTATTGTTTAAAGTGTTGAAAGAAAATTTGTATCTGGCTTGGAAATGGCAAAGTTGCATAGGGAATCCTTTTCCTATTAAGTTAAAACTTATAATAGTAATAAAATGTATACTTAGAACAATTCTTGACTTACCATAGAATTAAGGATTTAGGATGATCTTAGCTAAAATTTTCAAAGCTTGATAGAGGTAGCCAGCACTGAGTAAGTATACCCAGATTTAAAAATATAAAAGGAAAAAAATGTATACCCAGATGATTTTAAACTTGGTCATAATTATAGGCTTGTATATACTTTTGTGGTTGTTCATTTGGTTGGTTGGTTTCGGTTTTTTTGAGGCAGGATCTTGCTATGTAGCCTTCACTGTCCTGGAACTCACTCTGTAAACCAGGTTGGCCTCAAACTCACAGAGATCCACCTGCCTCTGCTTCCCGAGGGATGGGATTAAAGGCATGCCCCCACTACATCCAGTTTATATATCTAATTTTTAAGCCAGTCTATTAAGGTGTTTGTGTGTATGCATGTGCACATATATGTGTGTGTGTCGAAGCCAGAGGAAAACCTTGAGTGTGATTTCTCAGGCACTGTCCATCTTTAGACAGGGTCTCTCACTGGCCTAGAACTCACCAAGTAGAATAGGCTGGGTGGCCCGCAAGCCCCAGAGATCTGCCTGTCTGCACCTGCCTTGTGCTGTAATCACAAGTGTGCACTACCACACCCAGCTCCTTGGGTCCTGAGTACTGAACTTAGGTGCTTGTGCTCACAGGACAAGCTGTTTATCAACACTGATGGTTGGTTTGAAGTCAGCTTGGCACCACCTAGAATCACATAAGAAAAGAGTCTCTGAGCAGTTGTCTAGATTAGGTTGGCCTGTGAGCATGCGTTCAGGGAATTTCCTTAATTGGATCAATTGGTGTGGGCAAATGAGCCCTGTAATGTAGGTGACATCATTCCATGGCCTGGGTCCTGGCTGAATGAAAAGGAGCAAGCTGAGCACTGGCATGTATGCATCGAGTCCTTGCTCTCTGCTCTTGGCTGTGGTGTCATGTGACCTGCTGCATTAGTCCCTGCTGCCTGGACTTTCCTGCGGTGATGGGGTGTCATGTGACCTGCTGCATTAGTACCTGCTGCCTGGACTTTCCTGCGGTGATGGGGTGTCATGTGACCAGCTGCGTTAGTCCCTGCTGCCTGGACTTTCCTGCAGTGATGGGGTGTAACTAGAACTGCGAGCCAGAGTAAACCTTTCTCCCTTAAGTTGCTTTTGTGAAACTAAACATCAACTAAACACCACTAGGCTGATTTCCCTGGAAAGATGGCTCAGTGGTTAAGAAGATGTACTGTTCTTACAAAGGACACGAGTTTGGTTCCCAGCAAATATATCAGGCGGCTCCCAATGGCCTGTAACTCCAGCTCCTGGGAATGCTTCTGACCTCAAGGGTACCTGCACTCATGTGTACAGACACACACACCTACACATACCCCCCACCAATAAATAAATGTAAGTTTAAAAAATTAAAGCTAGCTACCTTTTTAATGTTCAAAATGTTTAACATAAAAATCTTTCATTTGTGTAGAAAACGGAGGCTCTTCGTTTGCAGTATCGGTACTTAGATCTGCGAAGCTTCCAAATGCAGTACAACCTGCGGCTGAGGTCCCAGATGGTCATGAAAATGCGGGAATATCTCTGTAATCTACACGGTAAGGGAAAGCCTGACGTTCATTCTGTTTTGTTGAATACTCTCTTCATTGTGGGGTCACCTGTTCCCAAAAGTCTAATTTGATCAATGTGTAGACTGGTTGCTTACTGGGTCATAAACATATCCTTTAAAGGTAATAATGTCTACTAAAGTAATTAGTATTTTCTGTCACTACTGAGGACAGTCTTTGGTTTTTTCTATGTAGTAAGTTTCTCTCCTACACCCCCCCCCCACCTCGCACAGTTTAAGTTATTCTAATTGCTTTTGTTTGAGACAAGGTCTCACTATTGCAGTCCAGCATATAAGACCTTACAATGTGGGCTGGAGAGATGGCTCAGTTGTTAAAGGCTAGGCTCACAACCAAAATAAGACCTTACAATGTAACCCAGGCTGGCCTTAAACTTGAAACAATCGTCCTGCCTTAGCCTCACAGATTCTAGAATTACGGCTATGAGCAACTATATCCAGCTTTTATTATTTGTTTGTTTGTTTGTTTAAGTTCAGCCTGATCTTGAACCCATAAGCACCTGAACCTCTTGAATTCTGGAGTTACAGGGTAGACCCCGATGCCCATGCTCATACACCATTTGTTGGGAAGTCTGAAATTTCCCCCGAGTTAAACTAGAGCACTCCTGCATACTTTTTATTGTTTCATCATTGCTATACTAGCTGAATGTTTCAAACCCCAGAGCCTTTCAGTAGACACGAATCAATCAGACATTTAGGATCATTTCCTATCATAAACATCAGCTTTATGAACAGAATTACAAATCTTGGCTTTCTGGATTTGTAGAAACCAGTTTAGGTATGTATGTCTTACTTCAGACATTTTCCTAATTAGAGGGGGCCTCTGATTTGTACTTCACTTTTGACATCATACTTGGCAAATTCCTATATATTAACTGCTTTTTCTCTACTTTTAGGGTTTGTGGATATAGAAACCCCAACATTGTTTAAGAGGACCCCAGGGGTATGTATATTACTTATCGCCTTATTATTAATATCTCTTCATTATAAAAGTGATTGCTTTGCTTTTATGATCACTTGGCCCATTTTTATTTACTTTTATTACTACCTCAGGGTCTTCACATTAACTAGACTATTTTAAGAATCAAGAAAACTGTGTGTCGGCATTTCGGATCAGAATGCCTTTATTCACATGAGTTTTCAATCCCTTCAATTGTATAGATGCAAATCATTAATGAATGTTTCATTAAAACCTTGTTTATTAAGAATTGTGTGAACTGGGATGGAGGGATGGCTCAGTGGTTAAACACACAAAGTAAAACTCCAGCTTCAGGGGATCAGACACCCTTTTCTGACTTGTAAACACTGCATTCATGCACACATACCCACATACAGACAGATACATATACATATAATTAAAATAAAATCCTGGGCTGGAGACATGACTTAGCTATTAAAGGCTAAGACAACCAAAAAGATGAAAGTAAAATCTTAAAAACAAAAAAACTGTCAACTAAAAAACATAAGAATTTTAAGGAGATAAAGGAGCTGTCCCTGTCTGCTAAGAGCAACTGTCCCCTATCCTTTCCTTCTAAAAAACCTGCACCTGCTCCAAGTTCGCTTCTGCCCTACCTCCGAGCCGCCAAGCTGGCATTGCCTGCAGAGGTGCTCAGATGACCAGGGACATGGACAAAGAAGCACTTTGGCTCGTGGTGGCTCTACATACCCTGACCTCATCTGTGCCTAGCCACAGCTCTCAAATCAGGACTTGTTCCAGGAATATTGTCACTGCAGCCAAGTTCACTGAGGCTACGACTCATGGTTGGTGGCTGGTCCAGGAGTAAGACTGGAACTATGGGAGCCTCATCATTGCTTATGACAGGCACCAACTCTAGAGTCACAGCTCTTCTGCTGTGCCAGTCTGCCTTGTCCCTTAGAAGCCTGAGGGCCTTTTGCCTAAGGGAGATCTATCTCATTCTCTCCATCACTGAAGGATCTGTCTCCACTCCCCATCTTTCCCATGTAGTTCTTCCTCCCTATATATTTTTCCTGCACTTTTTTAGGAAGTGGGCAGAAAATGGTTGGCTAGGGGTTTGACACAAGGAAAACAAATGCTGTATTAATAAGAAAAAAAAGAACCAGGCGAGGTGATGCATGCCTGGAAGACCAGCATTTGGGAAGCTAAGGCAAGAGAATCACAATTTTGAGATCAATTGTGTCTACATAGATCCTGTTAAAAAAGAACTGAGATTTTTTTTTTAATAACTCTTTATTCAATCTATAGACTTAAAAATAAAAACAGTCTAGGGGCTGGAGAGATGGCTCAGCAGTTAAGAGCACCAGCTGCTCTTCCAGAGTTCCTGAGTTCAATTCCCAGCACCCACATGGGTGGCTCACAGCCATCTACAGTGGGATCTGATACCCTCTTCTGATGTACAGGCATGCATGCAGATAGAATTCTCATATACGTCAACTAAATAAATTATTCTTAAAAAAAAAAGTTTATGGACTAGGTATATAGTTCAGTGGTACAATGTTTCTGCAGTGTGTTCACAGTCCTAAGCTAAAACACAAAACAAAACAAAAAAGTCCCTACGTTTTCATTTAGAAAAACATTGAAGAATTACTTGCTGATGCTGGAAAGATGTCTCAGCAGTTAAGAGCACTGACTGTTCTTCCAGAGGACCCAGGCTTAATTACCAGCACCCACATGGCAACTCACAACTGTCTGTAACTCCAGTTCCAGGGTACCCAACACCCTCATACAGACATACGTGCAGGCAAAACACCACTACACATTAAAAAAAAATTTTTTTTAATTTTAAAAAAAGAATTACTTGCTTAGGAAATAATGCACAAAATTTGTTCTGCTGATAATAAAACTGAGAATTTGTTTGCACACACACACACAATAACTACTATATACAAGCAGTATTTAAAGCTTATTTTAGGGGCTAGAGAGATGGCTAAGCGGTTAGAAGCACTTGCTGCTCTTCCAAAGGACCCTGTTCAGTTTCCAGCACCCAAGTTAAGTGGTTCTCAGCAGCCCGTATCTCCAGCTGCAGAGGTTCTGATGCCCTCTTCTAGACTGTGTGTGTACCCACATTCACATTTGCACACACACACCACATACTGTGCACAGAGAAGGGGGGGGAGTAAAAAACGTAAAAAAATTTTTAAAAAACAAAGTTTATTGTATCTGGGCATGGCACATCTTAATTCCAGTACTCAAGAGCCAGGGCCAGGTGAGTTCCAGTCCAGCCAGAGCTACATAGTGAGATTCTGTCTCTAATTAAATAAATAAATGTTATTGTATGCAAATTTATTTTAGGGACTATAAGATAAACAAGACATTGTCTGTCATTGGGACTTTGCTCTTTAATTTCCTTGGTGTGTTTAAGTTTTTATTTGCAATAGTCACTGATACTTTGAGTTTGTTTTGTTGTTGTTGATTTTGTTTCAGGGTTTTTCTTTTGCTTTGTTTTGTTCTATTGAGACAGAGTCTTGCTTGTGGATCAGGGTGCCCTTGAACTTATTATTCCTTTACCTCAGCCTCCTGAGTGTTGGAATTGCAGGCATTTGCCATACTTGGCTTAGGACTTTTGTTTGTTTATTTTTCAATAATGTCTCTCTTCTCTCTCTCTTCCACCTCTCTCTCTTTAAAAGGGTGCCAAAGAGTTTTTAGTACCATCCAGGGAACCTGGAAAGTTTTACTCTCTCCCTCAAAGTCCTCAGCAATTTAAGCAGCTTCTGATGGTTGGTGGTGTAGACAGGTAAACTGGCTTTTTGGGGTTTTTTTGTAATGCTGTTTCTCATCCAAAAGGGAAGAAGAAAAACCAAGAGTGGGGAGGGGACAAAACTTGTCTGCTTGGGGAGTGGTGAGATGGCTCAGTGGCAAAAAGCTCTTGGCACAGGCTGGTGACATGAGTTCAGTCCCCACACACAGGTGGAAGGAGAGCACTAACTCCACAGTTGTCCTCTGACCTACACCTGTATACCCGCACACCTGTACACCCCATCCATTATTCACATAATAGTAAAACAATTTTAAAGTTGTCTGACTTGAAGAGGTTAAAATTTGTACATGAATTTTGAGATTGCTTGCTCCCTGAAAATTGTAGTAGCCATCATTTATTTAAAGTTTGTCAGGTGGCATTAGGTAGTTCTGGCAGGGGATTAAAATAAAGTTCTGAGCTGGGCCGGTGGTGGCGCATGCCTTTGGTCCCGACACTTGGGAAGCAGAAGCAGATCTCTGCATTCAAGGCCAGCCTAGTCTACAGAGTGCGTTCCAGGATAGCCAGAGCTGTTTGGGGAACTATAGTAAACATTGTGATCAGGCTGGAGAAATGTCTTGCGGCTTAAGAGCATGTACTAGTTTTGCAGGGGACCTGAGTTCAATTCCCAGCACCCAGGTCAGGCACTTTACAACTGGCTGTAATGCCAGTTCCAGGGTGATCCAACACCTCTGGCCTCTGGACTTCTGCAGGCATGTATTTACCCACACATGGATGTGCACACAAACACATAATTTAATTTTTAATTTTTAAAATTAATTTTAAAGAGAGAGGGGAAAAGCACTATATGTTAGACCTGCAGAGACAGAGAGCTTCATTTCTGAAGGTGAAGGCAAGAGTTGGAATGGCATGGGACAGGAAGGCTCAGTGCATTGATTGATAAAGCAGTATTTCAGCTTGTGGAAGCAAAAGTACATATGTAAAGAAACATGGACTGGTTTGCATGCCCATCTAATATATAAGTACCCAAAGGTGGTATATTTTGAAATCCATCTATAAAATACTGGCCTCGCCGGGCGGTGGTGGCGCACGCCTTTAATCCCAGCACTTGGGAGGCAGAGGTAGGCAGATCTCTGCATTCAAGGCCAGCCTAGTCTACAGAGTGCGTTCCAGGATAGCCAGAGCTGTTTGGGGAACTATAGTAAACATTGTGATCAGGCTGGAGAAATGTCTTGCGGCTTAAAAGCATGTACTAGTTTTGCAGGGGACCTGAGTTCAATTCCCAGCACCCAGGTCAGGCACTTTACAACTGGCTGTAATGCCAGTTCCAGGGTGATCCAACATCTCTGGCCTCTGGACTTCTGCAGGCATGTATTTACCCACACATGGACGTGCACACAAACACATAATTTAATTTTTAATTTTTAAAATTAATTTTAAAGAGAGAGGGAAAAAGCACTATATGTTAGACCTGCAGAGACAGAGAGCTTCATTTCTGAAGGTGAAGGCAAGAGTTGGAATGGCATGGGACAGGAAGGCTCAGTGCCTGATAAAGCAGTATTTCAGCTTGTGGAAGCAAAAGTACATATGTAAAGAAACATGGACTGGTTTGCATGCCCATCTAATATATAAGTACCCAAAGGTGGTATATTTTGAAATCCATCTATAAAATACTGGCCTCTCATAGGTCAGCTATGTATCTGATTAGATTTGAGCATAATAAAATAAAGCTTCTGAGGCTGGGGTACAGCTTCATAGTAGAGTGTTTGCCTAGCATGCACAAGGGCCTGGGTTTAAGCATACACATATAAAATGAAAAACTAAAGTTTCTTTTAATGATCAGTATTAATCTGTTTCATAGCCAGTACTGCGAAAACTATGAGGGAAATTATTTGGGTCATTTAAAAGGCTAGGTTAACTCTAGTTTTCTTTTCATATTTATTTATTTATTATGAATACAATGTTCTGCCTGCATGTATGCCTACACACCAGAAGAGGGCACCAAATCTCATTATAAATGGTTGTGAGCCAGGGTTGCTGGGAATTGAACTCAGGACCTCTGGAAGAGCAGCCATTGCTCCTGACCTCTGAGCCATCTCTCCAGCCCCTAACTCTAGTTTTCAATTACAGGTATTTTCAGGTTGCCCGGTGTTATCGAGATGAAGGTTCAAGACCAGATAGACAGCCAGAGTTTACTCAGGTACTCAGTTATATATACTTGCTCTTACAAATTCATGCTTGCTACAACTAAGGATTTTCAATACTGGGACAGTAATTTTATGAGTTGTTAAAAATTAATGTAAAAGGTAATGGGTCTCGTGTTTCCTTTTCATACACACTTCATTTTGTTGATCCCCTGCCCTCATTCCTCTCCAGTCCCCTACCTCTGTACCATCCTCCTCCTTTTACATCACATGCATCTACTTGGCTTTTTATTCCTCTCCCTTAAGATTTCTGTCCCCTCTTATAGTTTCCATGACCTATATATGCACATATTGTAAAAATTCAAATCTAGAATCTACCATATGAGAGAAAGCATGGGGTACTTGTCTTTCTGCACCTGGGATACTTCACTGAACATAATTCCAATTCCATTTTTCTGCAGATGTCATGATTTTCTCTTTATGGCTCAATAAAATTTCATTGTGTGTATATATACACATTTTCTTCATCTATTCATCCATTAATGGATATCTTGGCTGTTTCTGTTCCTTAGCTATTGTGAATGGTACAGCAATAAACATAGATGTGCAAGTATCTGTGCTAAGATGTAGAGCTTTTGAGTATATAACCAAGAGTGGGAAGGTCTAATCCTATAGTAGTTGTTTTTAGTTTTTTGAAAACCTACATACTGATTTCCATAATGGCTGCACCAGTTTACATCTCACCAGCAGTGAATAAGGGTTCCTTGTTTCCCCAGTCTCTGCCCAGCATTTATTGTCATTTGTGTTCTTTTTTATAGATTTTTTTTAAGACTTTATTTTTTTTTAGATGTGAGCAGTTGAGACAAGGTCTAGCTAGGTCTCTCTATGTAGCCTTGGCTGGCCTTGAACTCCCTAAGTAGATTCATAGAGATCTGCCTGCCTCTTGTCTCATGAGTACTGACATTAAAGGGTGCCCCACCATACCCAGCAAGATTCTGTTTTACATGTGTTAATATTTTGCCTGCATGTGCATGCCTGGTGCTCGTGGGAGACCCCAGAACTGGAGTTACAGATTGCTGTCTGCCATGCAGTTGCTGGAGCCTGAACTCAGGTCCTCTGCAAGAGCAGAAACTGCTCTTGACCACTGGACCACCTCTCCATCCCCATCCTTCATTTTCTTGGCATTCTGCCTGGGGAGAGATGGAATCTCAAAGTAGTATTAATCTATTCCATTCATCCTTTTCATAAGGAGTGTGGGTATCAACTAAGGCATGCCAGATATTCCTAGTGTTTAAACATGTATGGTATGATAAAGTCCTTAAAAAAAATCTTAACCATCAAAAATTAGTACTCTATGGACCAATGAGACAGCGTAGCAGGTAAGGGCACTTGCTGCCCAAGCCTGACAGCCTGAGTGTGCCCCAGAACCTGTATAAAGGTGGAAGGAGAGAACTGACTCCAGAGTTGTCTTTTGACATCCGTATGTGTGCTATGGCACACTTGTGCCTACACCCACAATATACACCCCCAAACAGAATAATAAATAAAAACTAAAGTTAAAGCCAGACACAATGGTGCACACCTTTAATTCCCAGCACTCGGGAGGCAGAAGCAAGTGGGTATCTGAGTTTGAGGCCAGCGTGATCTTCAAAGCAGGTTCCAGGACAGCCAGGGACACACAGAGATACCCTGTCTCAAAAAACAAACAACAACAAAAATAAAAGTTAAAAGGAGAATCAATACTCCACCAAAAACAGGACAGAGTTGGGGCTAGAGAGATGGCTCAGCAGTTAAGAGCACTGACTGGCCTTCCAGAGGGCTTGGGTTCAATTTCCAGCACCCACATGGCAGCTCACAGCTGTTTGTAACTTCAATCCCAGAGAATCAGACACCCTCTTCTGGCCTTCATGAGCACCAAGTATATAGGTGTATATATAGGCAAAACACTCATAATATAAAATATTAAAAAGGGGGAGGGCAATGCTACCTTTAAAGAAAATAATTCTATATGCTGATATTTATCTAACTTATTTGGCTTTGTTAAGATAGCATTAATCAGTGTGATTAAATGCAAAAATCACAAGTTTGGAATCATAAAAACCAGGATCAGACATAGCCTGACTACTTACTGATTATAGTATGCAAGCAATTTGCTTAGCTTCTCTGAGCCTTCAACCATGAGCTAGCCGTGAAAAGTAAACAAGTTGGTGTATGTTAGGCAATAGCAGTCATTGATGTAAAAGTGATATATAATAATATTTATACCCTTAACCATGTATTGTTTCTGGGAAGAGTTATTTATTTGGTAATTTAAAGCCAAGAAATATATATTGTGACTATTCATGTACGTTTCCATGTTATTTTGGTTTCAGATTGACATAGAAATGTCTTTTGTAGACCAGATTGGCATTCAGCGTTTAATTGAGGGTTTGCTGCAGTATTCCTGGCCTGATGATAAAGAGCCTGTGACGATTCCTTTTCCTTCCATGACTTTCGCTGAGGCACTGGCCACTTATGGAACTGATAAGCCAGATATTCGATTTGGGATGAAGGTACTTTCATGTTTCCAGGACCATCCCCAAGTAGTTCAGGCCTCTTTTCAAGCACTTTGAAGAAATTTATGTGTTACATTGTTGATAATATTTTTAATGTTCCTTCACAGTGAACTCTGTTATTACCAAACTACAGCAAAAAAGAATAATAGCATGTTAGTGTTGCACTGCTTATTCTTTCAAGTTTCCATTCCAAAAGCAAGGGGTGTGTGTGTCTGTGTGTCTGTGTGTCTCTGTGTGTGTATGGTTTCTAATATGAGGGTCCCTGAAGCTTGCTATGTAAGCTACTAGCTTCAGACTTGAGATCCTTGTGCCTCAGCCTCCCAGGGGATGGGGTTACAAGTGTGTTTCATCACATTCAGTAAGAGCAAGATTAAGGTATCTGGTGCTGGTGGTAGTGGTGTAGCACGCCTTTAATCTCAGCACTCAGGAGGCACAGGCAGGCAGATCGCTGAGTTCAAGGCCAGCCTGGTCTACCAAGTGAGTTCCAGGACAGCCAGAGCTACACAGAGAAACCCCGGGGGTGGGGATGAGCAAAGAAACCCCAAATACAACAAAAGAGTAAGACACTTGCTCATATCAAGCCTGACAACCTGAATTTGCTCCCCAAAACTCACATGGTGGAGAAAGAGAACTGACTCCTCCTGAAAGCTACCCTCTGACCATAGACAGACAGACAGACACAGACACACACACACACACACACACACACAAATACATGGAACAAATTCAGATTATCAGTATCTGTAAGAGCAAGAGTAGAATTTTCTTTTTTTGAAACAGGGTTTCTCTGTGTAGCTTTAGAGCCTTTCCTGGAACTCACTCACTCTGTAGCCTAGGCTGGCCTCGAACTCACAGAGATCCGCTTGACTCTGCCTCCCGAGTACTGTGATTAAAGATGTACGCCGCCACCCACTGCCTGGCTAAGAGTAGAATTTTTATGTGGCAGTTTTATTAAAAATCTCCCATTACTTGTCCTTAGAGAGTAATATCCCTTGGTCTTAAGAACAAATATCCACACAAAGTCATAAGTACATTCTTGTTTTGTTTTTTGTTTTTCAAGACAGGGTTTGTTTCTCTGTGTACTCATTCTGTAGACCAGGCTAGCCTCGAACTCAGCAATCCACCTGCCTCTGCCTCCTGAGTGCTGGGATTAAATGCATGCACGATGATTATTATCATTACCATAAGTACATTCTTATATACAACCATTCTGTGTTTATTTGAATACAGAATACTAGCTGAGCCTGTTCAGGGTCAGTCCTGGTCTATCACAGCACTGTCTTCTTAGGCAGATGCTGAAGCTGCAGTAACCCTATAGCAATACATTCTTTAAATGCTAAGTTGCTTACTAAGTAGTAGTTCTTTTTTTCTTCTTAAGCAAGTGCTCAGGATCCCTTTGTCTCTGCCTCTTAAAGCTGTGTTACAAGCACAGCATGACCATGCCCAGCTTTTACATGGGTGCTGGGGATTTGAACTCAGGTCATCATGCTTGCACTGAACCATCTCCCCAGCTCTAGTTGTTTCTTTAAAACCCTACTTCTGGACTGGCAATGTGGCTGAGGAGATAAAAGATGATTGCTGACAACCCTGATGGCCTGACTTCAATCCCAAGGTTCCACATGGTAGAATGAGAGAACTAACTCCCTCAAGTTGTCCTCTGGCCTCCATGTGCCACGCCCCTACACATACACACTTCCCCCTCTACTTCTGTGATGACCTGACTTCAATCCCTGGAACCATGTCAAAATGGAAGGAGAAAACTAAAATTGTCCTATGACCTTCACACAGGCACTGTTTCACAGACATATACACACATATATATCCCTCCCATAATAATAAATATTTGAAATTATAAGACATCTTACCTGTGGAATAGAGATATGGCTCAGTAGTTAAGTACTTGCCACACAAGTGTAAGGACCCGAGTTCAGATCCCCAGAACCCATGTAAATGCTAGATAGTCATGGGACCTGCCTGTAATTCCAGCACCTAAGAGTGGAGACAGCGCAAGCAGGCTAGCAAAATTAGCCATATCAGGAGCTCTGGGTTTGATTAAGAGACCTTGTCTCAAAAGAGAAAGTGGAAGAGCAATGGAGGACAATTTCTGACATCAGCCTCCAGCCTCTACATGTACACACACGTTATGTGCTTGTGCACCCATTCATGTGCCTGCATATCTGCAATGATGCAACTGTACATATGTGCATACACATACACACACACCAAATACACATGAAAAATATAAAGAAGCAAAATACAACCCCTATTTGTCAAATATTTTGAGATGAAAATGACTGTGTTTAATCCTTTTTGTTATCCATTTTATAGATTGTGGATATCAGTGATGTGTTCAGAAACACAGAGATCAGATTTCTTCGAGATGCACTGGCTAAGCCCCAAGGAACTGTCAAAGCCATATGTGTTCATGAAGGAGCAGTAAGTGAAGCACGATTCTGTGTTTTCTCTAGATTGTATATTTTGGAAGAAAATATATTCAATTCTGGTACATGAACACTTGATCAAGAACAATATAACAACATATTTTCAGTCAGGCATGTGTTATACACCTTTGATCCCAACACTTGGGAGGCAGAGGGAGAATCTGTGTGAGTTCAAGGCCATCCTAGGCTACATCGTGAGACCTTATCTCAAAAAAGAAAAAGTAAGCCAGGCAGTGGTGGCACACGCCTTTAATCCCAGCACTTGGAGGCAGGTGGATCTCTGTGAGTTAGAAGCCAGCCTGGTCTATAGAATGAGTTCCAGGACAGGCTCCAAAGGTAACACAGAGAAAGAAAGAAAAAGTAGATGGTGCATGCCTTTACTCCCAGCACTTAGGAGGCAGAAGCAGGCGGATCTCCAGGTTTGAGGCCAGCCTGGTCTACATAATGAGTTCCAGAACAGCCAGGGCTACATAGAGAAACCCTGTCTATAAACCCCTCCCCCCCAAAAAAAGTGTTTTTATAGAAAGTCTAATTAATGTCCCTAAAATTATTATATAAATAATGATAAGCTGGGCAGTGGTGGCTCATACCTTTAATCCCAGCACTCGGGAGGCAGAGGCAGACGGATCTCTGTGAGTTCGAGTCCAGCCTGGTCTACAAAGTGAGTTCCAGGAAAGGCTCCAAAGCTACACAGAAACCCTGTCCTGAAAAACCAAAATAAATAAATAAATAAATAAATAAATAAATAAATAAATAAATAAATATTATTTTGAGTTTTTAATGTATTTATATTTACTTTTATTAGACAGGATCTCATGTCACCTAGACTAACTTTGAACTTATAGTCTGCCTTAACTCCCAAGTGCTGAAATTTTAAGTATGTGAGACCAACTGTTAAATGACTATTTTGAAAGAGATGTCACAAATTTGAAAATACTGAGAAATTTGCTTTTTTCTCTCACTGTTATAATTCTAAAAATGTATCATTCTTGGTGAGTAAACATACTTGTTAACTTAAAGTTTATAATTTAAAAAAAGACTATAGCAAAGAAAGACTACATCCATTTGGACACATAAGCAGCTGAATATATTTGTAAAGATGGTTAAAAACTCAATCTTGGGGCTGGAGACATGGCTCAGCAGTTAAGAACACTGACTGTTCTTCCTGAGAATCCAGGTTCAATTCCCAGCACCCACATGGCAGCTCACAATTGTCTATAACTACAGTTCCAGGGGACCCAACACCCTTACACATACAAAATACCAGTGCACATAAAATTAATAAAAATTTATGAAAAACCTCAGTTGTGCTGGACGTGGTGGCATATGCCTTTAATCAGGAGTTAAGAGCAGGCTGTAAGTTTGAGGCTACCCTAGTCTACATAATCAGTTGCAGGCAAGCCTCAGTTACAGAATGAGACTCTATCTCAAAAAAAAAGAAAAAAAGAAAAGAAAAGAAATTTAGATCTATTGAAAGGAACCAGAAATCATCAAACTCTGGATCCTCTCGATCTGAAAGGTGTAGCACTCCCCTTTGTACTTGTCCTGCACATTGCATGACAGTCGACTGGTGACAGCCACAGCGGTCTGCAGTGAGACCTGTGTAATTGGGAAATAATGACCCTGCGAACGATGCAGCAAGCCTTAAAACGTGTGTCATTTTGAAGAAGAAATAGTTTTTGTTAAATCCCACTCTTGTGATGGGAAAACACAAACCAATGTGCTCATATCTTACTTGACATTGTGAACCTGTTCTTAAAAGCTGACTGTCATATTGATGAGTTTACTTTGATTTTCTCTCATCAGAAGTACTTAAGAAAGCAAGACATTGAATTCATCAAAGAGTTTGCAGCCCACCATTTCAGTCAGGTAAGGGACAGCATTTTGTGGGAATCTGCGTTCTACTAACAATTGCAGGGCTCTAGTTTTGGTTTGGTTTTGTTTTTTAGATTTATTTTTGTTGTGTGTGTGAGTGTTTTGCCTGCATGTATGTATGTGCACCAAGTGCATGCCTGCTACCCGTGGATCCAGAGAGGCCTCTGAATCCCTTAGAACTGGAGTTACAGATGGTTGTGAGCCACCATGTGGGTGCTGGGAACTGAACCCAGATCCTCTGAAAGAGCAATTGGTGCCCTTAACTGCTGAGCTCTTAGGTTTGAGAGTCATTATTTCAGATCATATTTTTGCTGTGCATCTATTTTTAATGAAAGACTTGAATTTAGATGGACAACTGAATTTTTTTTTTTTTTTTACTTTATTTGTATTTTATGTACATTGGTGTTTTGCCTGCATGTATGTCTGTGTGAGGGTGTCAGATTCCCCCAGAATAGGAGTTACAGACAGTTGTGAGCTGCCATGTGGGTGCTGGGAATTGAACCTGGGTCTTCTGGAAGAACAGCCAGTGCTCTTAACTACTGAGCCATCTCTCCAGCCAACAATTGGAATTACTGTGGTACTGAAAATTAAACCGTATTCTTTTAATATACACAAAAGTATTTTAATCCAATTTTAAAAATTAAATAAGTTTAACTAATGGGACTGCCAGGCAAAACACCAATGTACATAAAATACAAATAAATAAACTATTTTTTGAAAAAATTAAACAAATGAATTTCCTAGGTGGTTGAGGTTTGACATTAGCATGACAAGGGTGAAGAAGCCTACTGGTTCTTCTCCCTCTGTCCTTTTTAAAATTATGAGTACACCTTTGTAGCAGGAATCTTAACAGTTCTTATTAATAAAATCAAACCTGAGGCCAGTTATTGGCGTGCATACGTTTACAATTATTAAATTCTTAAAAATGTATCTACTTGTTATTGTATGTATGTGTGTGTGCATGATGAGGGTGGGGATACATGCAGAGGTCACACACTTGAGTTATCTCACTGGCCCTCCCTCTGTCATTCTTATTCCATTCACTTGTAATCTGCCAAAAGTGAAAGGAAAAAAAAAATCACAGAAACTTCGAGGGCCTCTCCCAAGTAGGCAAGTGCTCTACCACTAAGATGGATCATATCATCTGCCGTCCTGTTATTTTTCCTTTTTTTAGACAGGGTCTCACTAAGTTGCCTAGGCTGGCCTTGACTTACTCTGTAACTCAGGCATGCCTCCTGTTGCAGTCTCCTGAGTAGCTGGGCTTACAGGCCTGCACCCCAGGCCTAACTTTAAAATTTTTTATTTTGTATTGCTTTGAAAGGGTTCATGATGGCAAAGAGATGGTATCATGTAAGTTGCCTTCTGCTTGGAACAAGAAATCTTTGTTCTGTGAGAAAACAAATCTATCTCACTTTTTTAAAAAAAATCAGTAAGCCTTTTCTTTATCAAGGAAGTCCTACCTATATTCCTGAATGCCAAGAGAAACTGGAGTTCACCATTTGCTAAATTCATAATGGAGGAGGAAAAGTTGGAATTAACCAGATTGATGGAGATCCAAGAGGAAGACATGGTGCTCCTGACTGCTGGGGAACACGAGAAAGCAGTAAGTAAAATTGTCTCAGCACATGGGTGTGTGCAAAAGGCTGCCTCTTCCCCATGTTTATTTACATATTTAAAATGGACTATTTGTCTCATAAAGCAGGGCTGCTCTGCATAAGTTGTTAGTGAATGTCTTTCAGTACGTTATAAGACACTGAATAGTAACTAGAGCCATTCTGTGCATGGTAGTATGGAAAGCAGGAGACCTCAAGTTTGAGATCAGCCTACACTACACAGTAAAACTAAAAGCAAACCAAAATTGGAGTCTTGGGGTAGCGAGGTGGTCGCGTGGGTAAAGGCACTTGCTGCCGAGTCTAATAGCCTGAGTTCAGTCACTGGGAAGCACATGGTAAGAGAGAACTGACTTCCAAAAGTCATCTCCTCTCTGTCTGTCCCCAGCTCTCCCATTCTCTCTCTCACACACAATGAAATTTAAAACTGGAGTCTTTCCATTGGTTGTCAGCTTCGTTGGCATTATACACATCAGATCTGGCTCTTACTAGGAAATCAATACAACTATGAAAAAGTATTTTGAAGGTTTGCAAAAGAAATTGGTAATTACAAACTTTTGTACACAGTGATTCCTAAAACTATGGAGGGACAATTCAGTCCACTGGAGGGGGAGGGCTGCTGGGCTGATATCCGTCAACTGCTATATATAGTCAAGGCAGGACTGTGTTTCAGTCACAGATGGTAAGGGCAGCCATGTACTAACAAAATCACTTTTTGTCAGGGAATAGATAGGAGAGTGGATGTAGTTGGAAAGGTCCTTGTAAAATATACAAAACATGACAAGAGAAACATGAATATTAAAACTTGTAGAACTGGGCATGCTAGCTCACACCTGTAATTCCAGCATTCAGGAGGCCTTGGCAGGAGAAAAAGCCACCTAGGCCACATATCTGAGACCACGTAGAGGTATACAGGTTGACAGTTTTCTTACTGTGATACAGCTAGAAAGTAATCAGATCTAAACCATTAACTACTTACCAAATTCACATTTTGTGTGTGTGTATGATGAGTGTGTGGTATGTGTGTATATGCGTGTGCAAATGTGAGTGCCTGTGTGAAGGCTAGAGGTTAATATTGAATATTCTTCCTCAGTCTCTACCTTAGGTTCTGAGACAATGTTTCTTACTGAACCTGGAGTTCTGATTAGCTAGACTAGCTGTTCAGAATTGCGGGGATCCACTTGTTTCTACCCCACAAGTGCTGCTGTCACAGACATCTGCCTTTTACATGTGTGCTGGGGATCCAGGCTCAGGTGCTATGTTTCCATGACAGGCATGTTACCGAGCAGCCTCCAGGCCCTCAGAATTCAGTGTTACATCAACATCTAACTCATGCTACCTCTAATCATAGTTAACATTTTCTGACTCTTAAGTGCATGTCAGACATTCATCAAATCCTCACCTTAGCCCTTCAGGAACTGAGAAAAAAAAAAAATGAATGAATGAAACTGGCCCCCATATTTTGTTGGGTTCTGTATCTTTTGTACCTTGTCTCACTTAACTTTATAAATCTTATTCTGTGCACTTGTGGTACCAGCTTCCCAGGATGTTGAACCATGATTGAGTTCAATAGTTCCCCAACCTGGGCAACAACGCAATACCTCAATAAATAATGGGATCACTTCATTGTTGGAGTAGGTATTTTATCCCCATTTACTTATGATGAGATGTGGAGAAATTAGTAAGCAGACAAACAGGCTCAGAGCTTGGTCTGTGAGGCTCTGGTCCCTGTGTTCCTAGTCCCTGTGGCATGAGATGCTCACACAGTCAGCTCAGGCTGAGGGTCGTGTGTGCTTATCCATCTGGCATTCAGATCATCCTCATATCTCTGTCTCCTGAGAAAGAGCATTTCATCTATTAATTGGCCAATCTTTTACTAGAGCCTGACCTTGACCTTCAAAATTTAGCTCGTGCCCTCTGCTGCCCACTCTTGACAAGAAGCTAACTTGATGTTTATATCTTTCATTTACAGTGCTCTTTGTTAGGAAAGTTACGACTGCAGTGTGCGGACCTTCTGGAAATGCGAGGAGTGGTACTCCGTGCCCCAGCACTGTTCTCTTTCCTTTGGGTGGTGGACTTCCCACTCTTCCTCCCTAAGGAGGACAGTCCCACAGAGCTGGAGTCGGCCCACCACCCTTTCACTGCTCCTCAACCCAGTGACATTCACCTCCTCTATACTGAGCCCCAAAAGGTATTGATCTTTTATTTCATTCTTCTAAATGAAAGGAAATATCTAACTAGATACAAAGAACTTCAAGATTCACTTAGGAGAACCAAGGAAAAAACTGAACCTACTGTTAATAAATTGTGTTTAAGTACAATGTCTTGGTCCTATAAAATTGAAAGCCAGGGATTTTCTCTAACGTGAAAATTCTGTGAATCTTGTAGGTTCGTGGCCAACACTATGACTTGGTTTTAAATGGCAATGAGATAGGAGGTGGTTCTATCCGAATTCATGATGCACAGCTACAGAGGTACATCCTGGCAACATTACTAAAGGTAAATGCCTTCTAACCTTGCCTTACTTTTGCCCATGTATTTGTTTTATAAAACATTTGTTTAAGAAGGAAAGTTTACTAGATGCAAAATGTCAGCTTTTCTTTGTGTTTAATGTAGGGACTGGGAAGAGCAAATGATAATATTTGCTTATTAATGCTTATTCTCTTAGGGTTTCTATTGCTGTGAAGAGATACCATAACCACAGCAGGTCTTACAAAGGAAAACATTTAAATGGGGCTGACTTACTGTTTCAGAGGTTTAATCCATGGCAGGAAGCATGGTGGCATGCAGGCAGACATGGTGCTGGAGAAGGAGCTGAGAGTTCTACACCTGGATTGGCAGGCAGCAGAAAGAGACTGCTTACACTGGGTGTGGCTTGAGCATCTTAGATGCCAAAGCCCGCCACCAATCACTTCCTGCACAAGGCCACATCTACTCCAACAAACCACAACTCCCAATAGTACCAATCCCTATGAGCCCTATGGGGCCATTTTCATTCAAACCACCATACTTACTATGTGCCAGGGGCTACATGATAATACAGCCAAATGTGGTGGCTCGTGCATTTAATTCCAACACGTAGAAGGTTGAAATATGAGGGTTGTCTTAAGTTCCAGGCCATCCTGGACTACATAGCAAGACCCTGACTCAAAAGCCAAACAGAACACAAAAGTAGCATATATACATTGATATATTATTTAACCTTCACAATAATTTCTGTGAGTGGATACCCTCATTATGCTCATTTTAAAGATGAAAAACCGAGGGAGGTACTAGCCCAAGTCACAAAGCACAGAGGTGGCACCAAGCCTGAAATCTCAGCTTTCTAGAGATAGATTTGCAAATATGAGTCAGGCTTCAGCTACAAAAACCGTCTCAGGTAGTACAGGCACTGAAGGATGGCTCTTGAGACCAAGCTCCTAAAATGTCATTTCCAGTGAATGGTAACACTACGAGGCAGAGACAGGTGGGCCCTTCCGTGGGTGTGTTGGTTTTCTGTGTTAAGACTTGTAGCTCAGGCCAGGCTGGCACTCCTATCTTCCTGCCTTCGCCAGGGTGCTGGAGTACAGGGGAGGGACTTGTTCTACTCCAGTGAACTTTAACCCTCCTATATATAGTTTTGTTTCTTGTTGTTTTTTAACATCTCCCAATACAGCCTCCCTAGTTGTGTCATTTTTAAACTGAACTTCATTTCCCTTACTATTTATTTAGTCTGTGACAAAAGACTTTTGTTCAGTATATATTTAAATAAAATGTGTTTTGCATTTCAGGAAGATGTGAAATTGCTTTCCCATCTGCTCCAGGCTTTAGACTATGGGGCACCCCCTCATGGAGGAATTGCCTTAGGTAAACAATTTGCCTTTTTATACACTAAATTCTATTCCACGACACTGTCTCAAATTTAGACTCTCAGTTTAAGGGGAAGGAATTGGGATGGGCTGAGTCCAAGAGTTCCATGTGAGTCTTTTTATTTCAGTAGTTTATGAGAGGTGAGATTGAACCCAGAGCCTTGTGCAATCTACGAACACATTACATTTTTATGTTACTGTCAGGTGTGGTGGCACACTCACACACACACACAGAGCGAACACAATTGGGAGGCAGAGGCAGGCAGGTTTCTGTGAATTCAAGGCAAATTTGGTCAACACAGCAAGTTCCAGGTCAGCCAAGACTACAGTGTGACCCACACACACCCTTAAAAACAACACAACAAAAAAAAAAGTGCTTACTATTCTTGCAGAGGACCTGAATTTGGTTTGTGTGTGTGTGTGTGTGTGTGTGTGTGTGTGTGAGAGAGAGAGAGAGAGAGAGAGAGAGAGAGAGAGAGAGAGAGAGAGAGATTAATTAGGGGCTAGTGTCAACTTTTCATTGACCTATCCAGATCTGACTGTAAAACCTGGGATTTGAGAACTTTAAAAAATGGGGTAAACAACAGTCTAATGCTATAGACAATTTTATTCAGTTTCAGAGTACTTTTATACATGAATGAAACAAAGAAAACAATGACCCAAGGAAGGTTGGTTGGAGTTCCGAAAAACATGTAAAGCACATATTATTAACAGAGCAGGCCTTTCTCAGAACTTTTTCAGGACAGACCAATTTAAACACAGTTGCCTGGTATGTACTATAGACTGTATTTGGGAAAGCAAGAAAGCAAGACAGAAGCCATGTCCAGATTCAGGTACACTGAGGACAGCACTCGGCATGTCCTCTCACCAGACTGGGTTCTATAGCTATGTTCTGACATCCAACAAGAATAAACATACCTTATAAATTGAGTGTAAATGTTAACACAGGAGGCATGAAATCACATCTAAGAACAATCCAGGGAACAACTGAGGTAAAAGGCCCGCTGCCTTTTCCTGAAGCCTCCCTCACAGTTCCCCAAGGCATTATTCACCATGTGTCATTCTTTTGACTGTGATGATCTGGGTTCAATTCCCAGTCCCCACATGGCAGCTCACAGCTGTCTATAAGTCCACCTACAGGAGATTCGACACCCTCACACAGATAAACATGCAGGCAGCCCCCAGCTCCTCCCAGATCCTTCCCACCTCTCCACCTGCCTACCCTTCTTTTCTTTAGTCTGTTGAGACATGGTTTCTCTGTGTAGCCCTGGAAATCACTATGTAGACCAGGCTACCCTTGAACTCAGAGATCACCTGCCTCTGCCTCCCAAGTGTTGGGATCAAAGGTGTGCACCACCACCACCTCCTGGCCTCCTCCTTCCTTCCTTTCCTTTTGTTCTCTTTAGAAAGAGAATAGGCAAGCTGGGCAGTGGTGCCGCACACCTTGAATCCGAGCATTCGGGAGGCAGAGCCAGGTGGATCTCTGTGAGTTCGAGGCCATCCTGGTCTACAGAGCAAGATCCAGGGCAGGCACCAAAACTACACGGAGAAACCCTGTCTCGAAAAACCAAAATAGAAAAACCCACAAAATCAGAAACCACAATATACAAGCAAAAAAATCAGTAAGATAAAGAATGCCCAAACAAAGCAATGAGACAAAAAGTCTACAAAAATAGCATTCATTGGTTTCCTTTTGTGTTGACCATCTACTGCTGGACATAGGGCCTGCCATTTAGTGTGGTTAATATACCCAGTGGGATTCAATTGGAGACAACTAATTTTTCCTTTGCAAATTGATTAATTTCTTGGTTAGGGGTGGGAGCTCATGTCCACTGCCCTCTCCGGCCTGAGTCTGTCTGAGCCTGTGCATGCTGTCAGTCTTTCTCATGTGCATTAAATATGGCCTGAATTTGAATTCCAACACCCACGTCAGGCAGCTCACAATTCCTTATAATTCCAGTGCTGGGGAGCACCTCTGGCCTCTATGGGTACCTTCACTCATACACAGACAACACAATAAAAATAACAAAAATATGAGAGCTCCCGGCCAGCCTAGATTATGTGAAATCCTATCTCACCGGGAGGCGATGGCACATGCCTTTGATCCCAGCACTCGGGAGACAGAGGCAGGCAGATCTCTGTGAGTTTGAAGCCAGCCTGGTCTACAGAGCGAGTTCCACGACAGTCAGGGCTGCATAGTGAAACCCTGTCTCCAAAAAAAGATAGAAAAAAAAAACAACTTATTCTCAAAGTTAAGTTCTCTGCGTTTCTCATCTAACTTTGTTTTATATCACAGGGTTAGACAGACTGCTGTGTCTTGTCACTGGAGCCCCAAGCATCAGAGATGTCATAGCCTTCCCCAAATCCTACCGAGGACACGACCTCATGAGCAGTGCCCCAGATTATTTGCCTCCTGAAGAACTGCAGCCCTACCATATCCAGGTCTCATGGCCAACAGACTCAGAAGAGGACAGTGCATCAGCCACACCTTCCAAACACTTGAACTCTTAAGTTTTGTCTTCTTTGCTTTACCAAGCCCAAAATAAGATCCAGAGCTGCCACAGACTTTAGAATCAAAGTCTCCGTGTGGAAGCAGTCATCACCATAGGAAAAAACAGAAGCTACCCAATTATGATTTGGTAACATGTACCATTAGGACTTTCTGTGGTTTGGACTTTTGTGGAAGGTTTTAATTAAAGCACTGTAAAACAAAACAGAAAACCTCTTTACTGGAGTATTTAGAGTCTTGGTGTTTTCTAAGCTTGTTTTCATAAACCATAGATAGGTTATTTAGGATAGAGGATACCAAGACATACAAGGAGAATGTTTGCCTCTGCAGACTGGCCAGTTGATGCAGGGAGAGGGTTTAAATTCATCTAACCTCACTAGTAGAACCATATAAATTGAGCTTTGTGGTGACCTTTCAGCTATCAATATAATATACTAAGAAGTAGCATAGTAGAATTTAAAAAAAAAAGTCACAAAATTCAGTATTGCACCTTCAGCAAGTTACCAACTTCTCTCAGGTGTTCGTGCTTTTAGAAATGTGAATGACACTTGTCCTGGTTATCTTCCAGGACTCTTGTTGCCAGAATCAGGAGGTAACATGTGTGGAAGACGAGTAGAAATGATTTGAATTACTGTAAAGCAGGACTGTCTTAGTCACTGTTTGTTTGCTGTAACCATAGCAACTCTTACAAAAGAAAGCCTTGTTTGCTTACTGAGGTTAACCCACTATCAGCACAGCAGCACACACAGACATGGTGCTGGAGAAGTAGCACCTCCTGATCTGCAGGCAGGAGAGGCAACGGCCCTAGCACGGGCTTTTGAATCCTCAAAGGTCACTTCCAGTCACACATTTCATCCAAGCCACACCTCCTAATCCTAATCTTTTCAAAAAGTGCCAATCCCTGGTGACTAAACACTCCTCAAATATGAGCTTATGGGGCCATTCTTATTCAAACCACAACAGCTCTGGAATAGAATGTACACAACTCTGGAATTCAATCACTGGCATCACAGCCATATACAACAAAACTAAAGGCTTGCTGTAGCAGTGCTCAGGATGTTGAGGTGGAAGGACCAAGGAGGCAGATGAGTACCTATTTGGCAAATAGTTATCTCTTTTGGTCCAAATAAAAATAATTAGGCTACAACAATACTGGGATGTAACACTTCCCTATAGGAAAGGTCAGATCCTGTGTTCTGTAAGAAATTAAGGGAATATAGAAAAAGTCTTAAAAATAGGTGCCAAACCCAAAACACTCCCAGTTGGACCTGGTAGCACATGCCTTTGATCCCAGCACTAGGAGGCAGGGGCAGGCAGATTTTTGTGAGTTTGAGTCCAGCCTGATTTACACAGGGATTCCTGGGCCAGCCAAGGCAAAACAATGAGACCCTGTTTCCAAAAAGACCACAGGCCAGCAAGATGGCTCACTGGGCAAGGGTACTTGCCTTGAAATCTGAAAACTTGGATTTGATACAAGGAATCGATATGGTGAAAGCAAAGAACAGATTCCTGTATGTTGTCCTCTGACCTCTACCCACATGCATTCATAACACACAAGTAAATGGAAAAAAGATCTAAAAACATGGGCTGGCTGGGGAGATAGCTAAGTCAGGAAGGGGAGTTTAAGCATGAGGAAATGTAGTTAAGGTCACCATGACCCAGGTGTGATGGGGCACTTGAAGGGACAGGCAGATTCCCTAAAGCTCCCTGGCCATCCAATCAAAGCAACTGGGGAGTTCCTAGTTCAAATACCAACCCTGTATAACTAAGAAATCAAGGAACACACCCAACATCAACCTGTGGCTTATACAGCTAAAAATAAACTCTGAAGCATACTGTTGATTTCAAGTCCTGTTGACACAAACAGTAAGATGAACACCTGTAGGCACCCCATGGTAACCTGCAGACCATTCAGATCAGGGAAAAGGGTACACTACCTGCAGAACTTCTCTCCCTTTGTTCCTTCACATTCAGTCTCCTCTCGCTCTGTAACAGATCACCTGCTGTAGCCTCCCTCCCCAACCCCGGCCCCATATCCAGTGGATCACACATCTTCCCCTTCTGACTTCTCTCCCCCAAAACCATTGCTTTATGACAGTCTCCAACTCCAGCGTGGACTCCATGGGAACCCTGACCACTCCAGCCAGGGAAGCTAACTGCAGGTCTTCCTCAAAACCAACACCCAGTCTTATCCCATAGGCCAGAGGGCAAAATACAGATCTTCACCTCTCCTTTTTTTCAAATCAATCCTCTGGTTTCATTTCCAGCTCTGAATCGGACCACCCACTGCAACCTCACTCTGCCCCCATTCCCAGGGTACTAAGCAGATCCTGGTGTACACCTGGCTCCCCAAACCCTACCCCATCCTCATTCCTGTCACCTCCCCATAACTAGAAAATAGGGTTTACCTGGAACCCCCAGTCCTCACTCCTTCCTATCAGGATCCCTGACCAATTGAGGCCATGCTTTTTTTTTTTGAGACAGTTTGTTTAGCCTTGGCTGTCATGGAATCCTCAAACTCAAAAGATCCCCTTGCCTCTTGCCTCTGCCTCCCCTGGGATTAAAGGTGTGCACCATCACCGCCTAGCTAAAAAATAAAGGTTTAAGATAAAGCAGCCCAAACTTGTACTGTTACTTCCACCTCTGGAATGCTTTAATTTCAGAGCTTTTAATGGTGCCAGGGACTGATCATGCTGTAAGATCTTGTTGCTCTGCTTGACTGTATCCTAAGGCCCAACTAACTTTACCATTAATCAGGTAATTAATGTATATGCCACAAAGCACCCCTTTAAAAATTTAAATCCTTGGGAGTTGGGCATGCAATCCAAATGCTGTAATCCAAGCATTTGGCTTATCAAGTATTTAGGAACCCTCAGCCCACAAACTTGAAACTAGCCTAGGCAAGTAGAAAATACCAGGTGACAAATAGGGAAGTCCTCACCCCAGCACTCAATCACTGCATTGTACTAGATCTTGTGTAGGTGAATACTGTCCAGTTGAACAGCACCTTCATGTTAGGACCTTAAAGACCAAGGACTTTGGATTTTACAAAGAACCCTTTCGCAACCCATGTTTCCTCCCAAGCCCACTATCCCTAAGCCCAGGCTGGCCCCAAACTTGCCATTTTTAGTTGTAACTAAAAATTCAATTACAATATTCTAACCATCCAGTGTTTGTCTCTTTGATGTGACTTTGATTCTAGCTGGGTGGTGGTGGCACACGCCTTTAATCCTAGCACTCGGGCAGATCTTTGTGAGTTCAAGGCCAGCCTGGTCCACAGAGCAAGGCACAATGCTACAGAGAAACCCCGGCTCAAAAAACAGACCTTTGTGATTCTAACTGTAATGCTTGTTCTTGTAAATTTAAGGTGCATATTCAAATATTGCTATGGGCCGCTAAAATTAATCCCAGCACAGAAGATGCAGAGGCCAACCAAAAGCACAGAAACTGTCCTCAAAAAAATTGTGAGCAGCAACCACATCAATAGATTACAAGTAGATGAGTTCTTTCTAGGTGTGATGACCTTATCTCAGCATTTTGGCTGATACAGGAAAGCTGATGGGAAACACTAGAGCTACTGAAACCTAATGAGGTTAGCTGGGGATGGTGGAGACAACTGCCAAGATTAATCAGCCCATATATTTTATCTTCCAGGGCAACTTGGCAAGCCTCAAACCATGCTGTGCATGCATGCCACTTCCTGACCATTCTTTTTCTAAGAGGCTGCTACACCTGACACTTTAACCCCAGATTTAACAGAGCCCAGACCTTATAGCACAACTGACAAAGCCATTTAGGTTGAGATTCAGCAGATATAACCTGTCTGTCAAACATGAAACCAAAGACTTAATCCAACTTATTTTGCTTCTAACTGTTCTTGCTATGATTAAGCCAGGACTTTTTGTGCTTAAAAGCATGGAAACACCTGAGTGTAGTGGCTGGACAGCTAAGACCTTCTATTTATTGGTGTAAACCCATGCCTGTGCAATCTTCTCTGGATAATACCCCACAAAACATGCTCAATGGACTTGGTTCTAAGCATTAGAAAACAAAACACACTTTGTCTTTAATTCCACATTCTATTTATTGGTGATAAAAATTCTCATGTGAAAACGCGAAGTATGATCTGAGCATCCAGCCAGCCACCTGCAACAGAGGTAACCTGGTTAGGCACATTTCTACATTTGAATTTAAATGGTAATTGTTACACACAGAATATCAGATCTTTTACTATCATCAAGTAATCAGTGAGAGAGTTCAAGTTGTGGTGAGATCATCACATATTCTGGAATACGTTCATGGTTAACATTTTCAATCCTCACCTTTTAAATAGTGAAGTGAAATTCAAATAGTGAAAATGCATGCCCACTTCTGCCACAGGAGCCCTAGAAAACAAAAAAATCTAATCATTTATCTTGTTTAGACTACTTATAGATTGCATGTTACTATAGTAACCTCAGAAATAAAATGGAACGGTTTTAAAGGTGATATCACTTTGTATCATTTGGCAGAATCATCACATCACTGGTTACAGGCCACATTATATACAATCTGTACAAAAACAAGGTGGCTTACCTTGAAATTCACAAATGAAGGATCTGTTTAAAAACAAGAAAATTTCATTAGCCCAGAAATTTATCTTAACACCATGCAGTACACTTTCCACTATTCTTTGGGTACTGAAGTAGTCTAGATGAGCTTTCCACAAACAATTCTCTCCTCCAATTCTAAGAGGCCTAAGATTTTATGGTAGTGGCCATTACCTAGAAAACTACACTCTTACAATCAAAGTCCAAGACATTTTATTAACTAGTGATTTAAGTTTCATGTGCTTTGGCATTGACCTGTGGCCTTACAATCACAAGAACCTAGTTTCCATCTTGTACTAAATATGGCAAAATTCATGGAAGACAATTCTTTAAACCATTACAGCCAGATACATCAGATAGGAGCGAAAGACTTGATTTGTTCATCAGAGGCTGTCTGCTGAACTATGTTATCATCATAGTATCGGCTTATTGGGGAATTATTTAATAAAAAAAGGACTCATACATGCACATTTCATCAGCAAAGACACTTACCTTTTTTTAAAATCTTGCCCAGTGCCTTCAGTCAAGGGGAGCCATGCACACCTGCAGAAATCCAGTTCCACTTAAAAACAGACCTTTATAAAGTAGACTTACACACAAGTTCCTAACTACTGTTTCAGCTTAATAACCAATCTTCAATCTTATTCAGAGAGATTCCCATCTGTTTAACTTTATACATCATTAACAGTAGTATTGTGTTCCTAAGTGAAATCTACAAAAAATGCTTCCTCACCTTCATTTACAAGGTCAATTTGGACCACTGGTTGCTCTTCTGGTGCTCAATTCCCAGTAACCATATGGTGGCTCACAACCATCTATAATGGGACCTGATTGCCCTCTTCTGTCATGTAGGCAAAATACTCATACCTACAAAAAAAGAAATTTATTTAATAGGCCAATTAGTGCTGGTGAGGAAGCACATGCAAGTTCAAGAACTAACCGCTACATCATACTGTAAATGACCCTTATTGGTACAAATCAAGAGCCCAGTAATTGGCTTCTTACCCAAGCAAGCAAGCCATCCAAATGAAAACATGCAACCAGTAGCTAGAATTAAAAGAAAACACCTCTTACAAATATGCTAAGCAAAATTCGGTTAATTATTCTTAGTTGCCTGTCACAGGGTTCTTCAGTGTTAAGATTTGTTGTCTACAACATATTCAGATCAGACATTTGCATAACATCATTACAAAAACCCTGTCCTAGTAAACACAAATCTAACATCCATGACAATACATGCCAGATATCAATAATCTACAATCATGGCATGCCACTTTGAATTGGCTTTTTTCAGTTTTCCAATACTTACTTTAAAAGTTGTCCAGACAATTCAAACACCTAAGGGAAAAAAAAATCACAGAATTCTAGTACATCCAAAAGACAGAATTTGTCCCACCAAAAGCTAACCAAGCCCATATCAGATAGAGCTAATAAGACGACCTTCATGTTAGTCAGCATTGGCTTGTCATCATGCAGGCTGAGTTCACACAAAGGAGACACATATCAAGTGTATTTACTATGCAAAAATGCAACCACACAGAGCCATGTTTGCCCAGTTACCTACAATTCCATCAACTCTACTCACATTTCATCTTGTAGTTTCTGGTCACAGCACCTACAATTTCAAACAGGTTAAGTTAAAAACTAGGTCGATGGTATTACGATCGACAGAACACAAAATGGTGACATGATTTAGCCTGCTATTATGCAACTACCGTTTTGAGGCAGTGATTCTCTGCATAAAAGCTGTTCATGCCTTTAAACCTAGCACTCGGGAGGCAGAGCCAGGCAGATCTGAGTTCAAGGCCAGCCTGGACTACCAAGTGAGTTCCAGGAAAAGGCGCAAAGCTACACAGAGAAACCCTGTCTCGAAAAACCAAAAAAAAAAGCTGTTCTTGAACTCACTTTGTAGACTGGTCTGAACTCCAATCAGCCTGCCTGCCTCTTAATTGCTGGGATTCAAGTGTGCCACCGCCAACACCAGCTGGCCCAACCACTTTTAACTGCATATCCCTACAACCCAGAAGGGAACCTGTATCAATTCTACATGGCCAACTCAGCACTTTGTGAGGCTGTGATGGAGATCCAGAGCCCAGCAAATAGGGCCTTGCCACCGTCCATGTATAGATATCTAGTTTTGTTTTTCCAGACAGGGTTTCTCTGCATAGTTTTGGTGCCTGTCCTGGATCTCGCTTGGTAGACCAGGCTGGCCTCGAACTCAAGAGATCCGCCTGGCTTTGCCCACACCACCTCAGTGCTGGGATTAAAGGCGTGCGCGGCTGTCGCCACCTAGCTGATAACTAGTTCTTTGTGCTTATCTGCAAATTTTTCCTTTTGGATAACATTCCTTTCAATGTGACATAAATATGGAAAATGTTTCTTACCCTGCACACCCATGGTTATTCCAGCTTTTTCCATAGGCCCTGGAAGTAAAAGAGCTTCATGTAAATTCTGTTTAGTTTGCAGAGACCCTGTAAGTCATTATCCTTTATGCCTCAGTTACAATTATGGTGGTTTAAGGTTATCGTCATCCCACTGTCAAGAGTAGCAAATAAAATGTCATCATTGTGGCACGGTTCATTCAACCTACCCTCTCATTGGCTCATTTCTGTACTTACCTCACTTCATCCATCTTTGTCCCAGAGCTAGAAAAAAAATGTAAGAATGAGACCCCCGATTTCACAGCCTTTTTGCCATCCTCCACCCGAATTAAAGCCTCAGAACAGTGTTTTTCAGAAATCCCTTCTGTCCACTACTCTCATACCATCATAGGCTTTAACAGTGTTTTAAGATATCTTCCGGACTTTATCGATTCTTACCTGTCTGTATGATGCCAGCAAGAGCCCCTGAGAGGTCCACAGCACCATTCCTAAAGAAAATTTGCTCATTTAGATATCTTTAAATACATCAGCTTTACTCGCACAAACAAAATTTTCACAAATGATAATTGTATTCAATGAGGCACTGTGGAATGCATCTATCCAACATATCACTTTAAATTTCTTCCACAGAGCTAAGACTCCACTGGGAGCTTTTTTAGTGGCCACTCACAAGGGCCTACTTTGAGGCGGTTGTTAGCGAACGCCATCAACCTCATGATAAGCTCTAAAAATCAACACGGTGGTCTTCTTTAACCGCATAATAGGAAAAAATATCATAACCACACAAGGCCTCTCACGGTGACTCAGCATGCTCCGCCATCAGAGTCGTTGGTATTCATCAACAAGGTCAGTTGTCCCTACCAACATAGCCTTCATCATAGCGAGAACACAGGTGCCGAGTCCCTTATGGAGACTTTCCGAAAAAAAAAAAAATTACAAAACCATTTTAGGTCGCGCGTGCACGCAACGCTAAGTTCCGATAATCTCCAGCTTGTGGGCCTTACAAGCTCATTACTGTCCTCGAAATTCCGCCAGTTTGCGGTGGATTCATCTGCAAAATGCTATTCTATAAGGCCTGAGCCCACAACACACATACACAAAGAAAGCCATACGTACCGTCCACAATGTGGCTCACAGCGCGGAAAGGCCGATATGGCGGCTGAGCCCAGTATATAAACTCTCCGTGACGTCACGACGCACTGCCCTCCGCTGCGTCCACTTAGGTCCCGCCCCTGCGCCGCAGACTCCTCCTCCAGCCCCACCTCCTTCCCGCCCTCAAGTTCTCCCGCTGGCCCCGCCCCACACCTCCCGGAGGGCGGAGTCGCCGCGGGCGCGTCCAGCCCGGCCTCCGCCTCCCTGAGGAGTAAGGGCTGAGGGGAGGGGGCTCCCGTAAGGAAAGCGCCGGGGAGGGGCGGTCTGAGGGTGACTGATTTCCTTCCGGCACGTCGCCCGCTCCGGAGGAGGGGGCGGGGGGTTTCACTTCCGGGACGGTGTTCCGGCCCATTCCGGCCCATTTCCACCCCCGGAGGTAGGTGCTGCTCCTTGACTGGGCTCGGGCCCCGCACCCCCGCCCCGTTAGCCTATGCCGGACGCTCCTTGGCCGCGTCTCGGCTGCAGCCAGCTCCTGGGGCGTTCAGCCGCCCGGCTCCACCTCCCCTCCAAGCACTCGGCGTCCTCCTCCCTCCCCCCCCGCCCCCGTTTGGCTCCGGGCTGCAGAGCTTGCGGGCCCGCCCCCTCGCGAGCCCCTCCCTCAGGACCCCGCGGCGGGGACACACCCAGACACACCCCCCGCCGCCGCCCTGTACCGGGTCCCGGGGCGCCGCCCCCTTCCCCCTCCAGCGCCTCACCTGTGCGCCGGCTGCTCGTTGGCCGCGCGCGTTCTGCTCTCTTCCCCCGGCTTCTGTGCCGTCTCCCCGCTTAGCCAGGGTCACCCTTTGCCCATGCTCCCCGACACACACGGAAGCTGCCCCCCAGCACCTGACTGGCCAACCCCAAGCGTTCCCGATTCTCCCTTTTGCAGCTCTCGCCCCTCCAGGGCCGACGCTAGAGAGAGAGACTTTACTCCAAGGGGCTTCCTCCTCACTGGGGAATTGCTGGGAAGAGCAAACAAAAAGGCGCTGGTGTAGGCTCCAAAATAAACACCTGAATTCGTGATGGCATCGACAGAGGCTCTTAAAGGATTAAAAGTTTCAAAACAAACAATAACGCTTTGGAAAAAGGTCAGATTGGTTAAAGTTGCTTCTTGAAAGCAGTGTTTGCACTTCCCCTGTTTACTCAATAAGTGTGTTGTAAATGCGGGGTGATAGCGTGAGCTTGTCCTGGTGTGTTGTGTAGTCTCTTAAATTTAGAGATAAATTGGATGCGCAGTGAGCCAAAGACATTGTGATACATCTGAACTACCCTCAACTTTGAGACTGTTTGATGCAATTGCAGTCTTTTAGTGTAAAATTTTAAGCTTTATTCTTGTCGGCTGTAGGGAATCAACTTCCTGGATCAAAGTAGCATCTTTGGAGTCCCCAACCCCGAGTTTGTAGGTAGAGAAAGACTTACTTAGTAGTTTTGTTGGGTAGAGAAAGATTTACTTAGTTTTTGCTAACTCTGAAAACTAGACTCCAAGTTCTCTGCATGTTAATTGAATGCTAAAAGGGCTGTGGAATTTTTCCTAACCTACAGTTCACCTCAGAGTCTTGGATCCAAAAAGGGGGAGCTCCAGCTGGTAAGCATTTCAAAATATAGGCCTAGCCTGGCATGGTAGTGGTGACACACCTCTAACACCAGCAGCATTCTTTAATCTGAGCAGAGGCAACCAGATCTCCAAGTTAGAGACCAGCCTGATCTACATAGTGAGTTTCCAGGGATAGCCAGAGCTACATAGACCCTGTCTCAAACAAACAAATGCCAGGTGTGGTGGCTTAATCCCAGCACTTGGGAGGCAGAGGCAAGTAGCTCTCTTGAGTTCCAGGCTAGCCTGCTCTACAGAGCAAGTTCCAGGACAGACACACAGAAAACCCTTTTTTTGAAAAAAAGTGATAATACTGACAATTCACGTAGAAAATTAGTCACTTTATAGTCGTAAATAACCTGTGCCACATGTATTATAATCAACCTGTATATAATTGACTTTACTCTAAAACTTACTTCCTCTAGAAAAAGATAATGGATTTGTATTCAGTCTGAAATCCTTGTATTTGGTACCCTCCTTGATGAACTCCTACCTTGATGTTATATAGCTTGTTAATAAAGTATGGTTGAGGCTTGAATATTAAGCAGTCTAGCAGTCACTTTTTTGTTGTTGTTTTCATTGCATTTTACTGTGAAATCTAAAACGTCGTGCCAGGCTTAGCAGTTCACACTAATCCTAGTACTCAGGAGGTGGCATCAGGAGGGTCAACACAAGTTTGAGGGCTGTATTAGAGTGAGAGCTTGTTCCTACGAAAACAGAACACCTGCTGGCAAGTCCTTTTCTACAGCCAAGCACCATAAGGAAGGTGCCTCTTCATACGTGGAGATTTTCATTTTTTTTTCTGAGACAAGTTCTCACTTATGTAGCCCAGACTCATGATTCTCCTGCCTTGGTGGCCAAGTGTTAAAACTACATATGTGTACCTGGCACTCCTGACCAAGAGACTTGACATTTTTAGGGATGTTTGAAGTAAAAAACCCAAAGGGAGTCAAACTGGTGCTAAGAATATGGTTTGCTCTTTCAGCAGGGTTGAATGTCTGCCTGTATTTTCAGGCATGACCATGGAGAAAAGTGGGAACATACAATTGGAGATCCCTGACTTCAGCAACTCTGTTCTGAGCCATCTCAACCAGCTACGAATGCAAGGCCGTCTCTGTGATATTGTGGTCAATGTGCAAGGACAAGCTTTTCGGGCTCACAAAGTAGTCCTGGCTGCCAGCTCTCCTTATTTCCGGGATCACATGTCCTTGAATGAAATGAGTACTGTGTCCATTTCTGTCATCAAGAACCCTACTGTTTTTGAACAGCTCCTTTCTTTCTGTTACACAGGGCGGATATGCCTGCAACTAGCAGATATTATCAGCTACCTAACAGCCGCTAGTTTTCTGCAGATGCAACATATTATAGACAAATGTACACAGATCCTAGAGGGCATTCATTTCAAAATAAATGTGGCTGAGGTGGAAGCAGAATTAAGTCAAACGAGGACAAAGCTCCCAGAGAGACCTCCAGAATCTCACAGGGTTACACCAAATCTAAACCGCTCACTTAGCCCACGACACAATGCTACAAAGGGGAACTGGAGAGGACAGGTCAGTGCTGTGCTGGATATCAGAGAGCTCAGCCCCCCTGAGGAGTCTACCAGTCCTCAGATCATCGAACAGAGTTCCGATGTAGAGAGCCGGGAGCCCATTCTTCGAATCAACAGAGCAGGACAGTGGTATGTGGAGACAGGACTAGCAGACCCGGGGCCGCAGAGTGCGGATGAAGTTAGGGTTCTTGGAGCAGTCCACATCAAAACTGAAAATCTGGAAGAGTGGCTGGGGCCTGAGAATCAGCCTTCTGGAGAAGATGGGAGCAGTGCAGAGGAGGTCACAGCCATGGTAATTGACACCACAGGCCACGGCTCTATAGGACAAGAAAGTTACACTTTAGCGTCTTCAGGAGCCAAGGTAGCCCGGCCAACCAGCAGTGAAGTTGATAGGTAAGTTTTGTTTTCCCATTTAAAGCTATTGTGTAAACATCGTTAAGTGAGCCTTCTGTGTTACAGAGAGCATTTTTCTTGCCTGATGTTCCTATTCGACTTACTTTGGGAGACTGGAAATATGTCAAAAGACATTGCATTTTTTCAAAGCAGGAAGCTCCAGGTTCTGAAGTATTCACGATGTTATGAGAACTATGGTAAAATCAGCCACTTCCATGAATCAGAAAGCATCTGCAGCCACTCTAGGATCAGTTATTGCCAGGGCCCTCTCTGGATTCTAGGCAAAGAGCTGATTGTCAGCAGGTGTCTGGTAACATTGCCCTTTCTCACATAGCATCACACAGGTAGGTAACCTTGGGAAGTTTTACTTTCCTTATAGCACTTTGTATTATTTCTCTTTGCCCTTGCCTACCAAGTTAGAGATAGCCTGGTACCATCAGTAATTGTTCTTTTTTCAAATTAAATATAGTACAGTAATTCTAGAGAAAAGCTTTTTTGGATGTTTTTCAAGTGTCTCCTCACCTAGTGATGTTTCCTTTGAATCTGCTACTCTCTGAGGCCTGAGAGTGTCCTCACCAGTATGGCCATGGCCTATGGTCTTCACTGTTTTCTTTCTTATATGCCAAATCTGTTAGAACACTTCCTTTTGATGGAAATAGCACTATCTTTCATCTAGTCAACTGAAAGAAAAATGTTACTAGTTTAGATTGGTAACATCTTATGTTCTTTTTTTATTTTCACTTATTTGTTTATTGAGAAAAGGTTTCTGTAGCCCAGGCTGTTCTAGAACGCAGGGCAGTCCTCCTGCCTCAGCCTCCTGAGTGCTGGGATTACTGCCATGAGCCACCAAGTTTGAATGGTGGTGGTGGTGGTGGTGGTGGTGGTGGTGGTGGTGGTGGTGGTGGTGGTGGTGTTTTGTTTTGTTTTTGAGACACGGTTTCTCTGTGTATCCCTGACTGTGCAGGAACTCACTCTGTAGACCAGCCTGTCTTGGAATTCACAGATACCTGCCTGCCTTAGCCTCCCGAATATTGGAATTAAAGGAGTGTACCACCACTGCCTGGCTCATGTTTGGATATTTTTTGAGACAGGGTCTCACTTCATAGTTCAAAATGGTTTATAGCTTACTAAGTAGTCTAGGCTAGCCACAAACTCATGCATTCTTCCTACCTTAGGCTCCCAGGCCCTAGATTACAGGTGGCTTATTCTCTTTCCTGCTTGAAATAGATTGAAATGGGTAAAGGCGTTTAGAGCCAAGCCTGACCATCTGAGTTCAAGCTCTGGGACCTACATGGTAGGAGGAAAGAGTGACTCGGATAAGTTGTCGTCTGACACACGCTGGCACACATGCCTCTCATGAACAAACAAA